GGAGTCGCCCCCTGGTGGACACTAGAGAGAATGCAGCTTTAAGACACCAGAGGTTGCCGCCCTAAAAAAACAACCCAGATCTGTATACAAAACATGTAGATGGAGATCAAAACAACTTCCTATTGGGACATATTAGTGTTTAGAAATCCCTGAGGAGCCTCGACTAGTAAAATCCAACAGTTGTGAAGAAGCTTCTATGGAGAATCTCTCCTCCCACGTCAGCCGTAATCTCAATCACAACTTTGACAAGATTGAATAAAACGCCTTGACTTGTCCGATGTCAACAAAGAGGAAGATCACTCTAATCTCTACGCCCTCGCCTGCAGACTCACAACAACACACACACGCCAACAACAGCTGGTCACTTAAAATAAATAACACGCATACTTGTGCAAAGCTAATCTTCCCCACAGAGATGAAGAGTGGGGGATTAATGAGGTGGATATATGGACAGTGGGATTAAACATCACTGTAGGTTGGTTTGAGGTTGTTGTGAGAATAATAACAACCTGAGGTAACCTGATTTTTTTATGTGGTTTACAGCAGAAATCAAATTGCTTTCTTGTGTCTGCTACAGAATATACATCTGCTCTGTAGATGTTCAGGACATTCAGCAACCAAAAGGGAGACATTTATATTTCATATATTGTAGTTTCGCCAATAATTATCATTTGTAAATTAGGTTTCTAACAAATATTTGCAATCGCATGCTCTTTACGCTCATGTTTCTGCTAGCTGTAGTCTTTTTAAATGCCATTGGTGGAGCATTGGTCCACTAACACGATATCTGGTTTGCATGATTCAATGTGAATGCAGCACAAAAATCCCCAGAAATATCCAGATGTTTTCACTGTACATGTACGAGGAGGCCTCAGCAGCTCTTTGAACACATTTACTTCTGTTGCTTCTGAAACCATCTGAGAAATGTCAATAATCAGATCTAAATATAGACAACCTTTCTCAAACCCTGCAACCAGCCTGAACTCTGGTCAACAACTCTCCTGCCAATAAGCGGGGGAACAGTTGGACTTCACCGTTCTGCTTCAGCACACAGGAGTGGAGCCACAGAGCCGTCATCATGCGGGGGAAAGGTCGGCTAAATGAGACCGGAGATGTGAGGACACAATGAAAGGTTTTCATAAACTAGTGAGAGATACGAGCTGAGGCCGACTCACCGCTGGTATTCCACCCACCTGTACTTCCTCTCACAGAGTTTATGTTTTATTAGGTTTTACAAATAAACTCTGCCGCTCGCTTTCAGTCGTGGTACGAACAGATTTCTTGTAACTATTTCTAAACACAGAGAGCCACATGTTTCTATCTGCACTGAGTAAATGACTACATCACCAAGTAGAGTCAACATGCTGCTCACCATGTCACTAAAGTCTTTATACTGCCGTCACATTGCTATGGAAGCACATTTGATTTGTTTAATCCGAGGCTAATTATTGTTAGATTCTGATTACAGGGAGATTACAATTCCTACAACCTCAACCACATCCATGACTGTAATCGATTAAGTTGATTATAAACTCAGTGATAAACAGTTGATTATTATTGATCAACTATAAAAAAAGATTCATGAGTTCAGCACAAGTTTGAATCACAAACATTTCTATTAAATTCAGAGATGTAGATCAGTAAGCATAATGCAATTAACTCTTTTGTATATTAAGTATGACATAATTGTATTTTAAAATGTACAGCACTTTGAGCTACATAGTCTGTATGAAATGTGCATTGTAAACAACATTATTATTATGATTATTATCTAATGGTGAATGTAATGTAATCCATAAAACAGTAAAATGTTAGGGTTTTTAATCAAACAAAAACTACAAGTTATATTTAATAAATAAGTGATGAAATACTACAACATTTATCAAACAATCCGTCCAATAAACAATGCACATAATCACTGTTAGATAAGACACAAACACCAGTATGTTAGATAATTTACAGAACGACCTAAACAGATTATAATGTCACTAAGACTAATGTTTCTTAAACATGCCTAATCATGAATAAACATCCACCATGGTGAGTGATTTAACGCAGATTTGGAGGCTGTCAGATCAGATGTTGCTCAAAGCCATGCTGGCTAGCTGTATAGCTAGCTAGCTAAGCAGCTAACAAACAGCTAGCTAACAGCTAGCTAACAGCAAGCTAACAGCAGAGGACAACGTAGTACGTAGTTAGCTAAAGTCGTTAGCATGTTAGCATTTTCACAGTCGCTTACCGTGACGTCATGAACCGCCTCTGTTGGACGGGCAGAGCGCAGGTCCGGCATTGAACCCGCGGTCTGAACACCTCGGACCCACTGCTGCCGTCAATGACGCTCAGTATTCTGTGTGTGTGCTTCTTGTTGTATTTACTGACGGTGCTCAGCAAGCCTCGGCGTAACGCACAGGCCGCCATCTTTACAACAGCCGGAGAGCAGGCAGCAGGGCACGCTCACGTAACGTTACACGTATTTACAGCGTAATGATGTAATTATGCTGCCTTAAGGGAGCGATTGAGAGAGTTGTATTTACGAGCACTATTTGCTAAACTTGAATTTCTCTGATTTTTAACACCACGATATGATCCAACAAAATTGGAGCTATTTAGCTTGCTTTCATTATTATTATTTAGCAATTAAGTTTTAATTAATCTGATTAAAAGTGAGCAACAACCCATTAAACTTGAATATATGGCAAATTAACGTTTTTTAACGGATCTTACAAGCGTGGACGTCAGTTGTAATTATTCATAATTTAGAAATTAAGTGAAAAAAAGGTTGCAAAAACGAATTTTGTTTCACACTAAAGCGCTTTATCGCCATATGTTTTTCGCACGTAAAGCCTGTTAAAAAATACTCTTACACTGTGTTTTGGAGGCCTTGAACGCACCAAAAAGAGCTCGCGCGTGAGTGTACCGTTAGTGAGCAACATTTGAGTTGAATGTGGAATCAACATTATTTGTATTATATTATATTATACATATATTATTTAAATATAATGAGTTTACAAAGATTATAAAATAAATTTGATTATTTAAAAAAAAGCCCAATAATAATAAAAAGTCACGCATGTCGTCACATGACCGAATACGTCATCATGTCACATGATAAACAACATGGCGGCCGCCTCGGCTGCAACAAAGATCCTTCACTAGCTGTTTTTAGTCGTTAAATGCCGAGCTTTATACCATTTTATAACAACTAAAACAGTTTCGGATAGTTTTGGCTCAATTTCCTATCATCATATCTACGCTTACACCTCAAATTATTATTTTTTATCTAGACAGCTGCATCGCTTAAGAAATCATACTTCCGGGTTTGGAGTCAGTCGGATTTAAAACCATGGCTTCCGCATTTATTATCGTCGGGGATACATTCAGAAATAAGGTGACGGAGCTGTTGGAGAAGACGGACTCATGTCTGCCCGAAAGATTGCGAGAAGAACTGGAGGAGACTCTCGGAAAACCGGAGCCAGCAATGATGTCCTTCAGTACAGTGAGGACTCTGAAGAAATACCTCCAGGAGAATGGTAACGTGTGCAAAAATGTAGTAATGCTGCTGTTTTATGAATGAGTCAGTTGGACAATGTGTTTGGGTATTTTGGACCTTTTTATAGGACAACTCTTATTACCTTTTTTTATTACATATATAAAATACATACTCTGTCTTCCTGACGTGATGTTCTGCAATAAAAGTAATTAATACTAGAAGCCATGCCATTAATAAACTTAATATAATGTGTATTACTTTGGCTGTTCTCTTCCTCCAGGTCATCCTTTCTACCTGCATGAGCTGTTGGAGGACTGCTCGCTGCACCTACCTGAGATTGTGAAGCCTCCCAGAGTAAGTGAAACCAGTTTGTGTGTGTATGTATGTATGTATGTATGTATGTATGTATGTACGTACGTACCTACCTACCTACCTACCTACCTACATACCTACATACATACATACATACATACATACATACATACATGAATACATACATACATGAATACATACATACATACATGAATACATACATACATACATACATGAATACATGAATACATGAATGAATGAATGAATGAATGAATGAATGTTTTGTTGCATTCACAGCATGTAGGAAACGAGGCGGAGCGTAAACTGTTTACTTTCCTCCCTCAGAACCCCCAGCTAGTCGCACGTCTTGAGAGAATCAAAGCCAGACTAGCCAACGAGGAATACAGCAGAATCACACGGAATGTCAACAATCAGGTATGTTTTTATGTGTACATTAAAAATATCTTCATCAAGGTGTGATCTCATGCTTTGAGATTTTACAGTAGTATAACATATGTCTAAATATAAATATAGAGATCTTGTCACGTACTTTTGTACTGATTTTTGTAGATTTGCACATATTTTATTGATGAATGTTTTTCTTTGTCTTCAGACAATCAGCCGAAATGGAACATTAGCAGATTTTGGACGTGAAGGTGAGAGTGGTACCGTTTTTAATATCTCATTACAGTTTCAATGCTTATTATATAACCACCATGGCAGCAATCAGAGGCTGAATTATATATATTTATAATGAACTTCTTCTCTCTCTCCAGTGCGGTCGGTCAAAGCGGTGGTGGCGACCGTGTTCAACTTCCTGGTCACGGTGGTTGCTGCTTTTGCGTGCTCGTACATGGGGAGTCAGTACCTGTTCACAGACACCGGGGCGGTAAGAGAACGGTTAACCAAACAACACCATTTACATGTTCAGATGTCGGCCATGTTGTCGTTTGTGTTGCTGCTGTTTACGTTCCTCCGGATGCAAATTTAAAATAACGTACTCCTGTTTTTGTTTTGTTTGTCTTGTTTTGCTACGACTGCATTTCTTTGTGCATCTCTGTGTTGCATAATGACAATAAATTATCCTTGAATGCTACACACATAGCATCTCTGTCCTGGTCCGGACAGTTTTTAAGCTAACATTCCACCTAAAATACTGGTATAAATGATCGTGTAATGTTTTCAGTTGATTTAATGGTGTTGAACTGAAGTTTAACTTCTTACCTTTCTAACTGAATATCATTTTATTTATTAACTTTAGCTTTGCCTTTACCAGAGTCGGTAAAAGGATGCTAACGACGTTGAATTAGCCGTGTGCCGCCCTTGTCTTGGTTCAGACTAACTTCTATCTGCGTTGTGAACACCGGGCGCTGATGGTTTTTCGGGGGTTTCAATTTGTTTTCCGGGGTCGCCAAAATTACCATCAATGCTGTCAACACATCTGAGAACGTAATTTAAAAACACACTCATATGCTAACTTGTAGTAGCAGTGCTGTGAAAATACAGAGACTCTTTTTAGAGTTTTAGATCGTTACTTTCCTATAGTATTTAGACATGTAAATGACCATATATATTCATGACATTTGACACGTAGATCCTTTGATGTGTATAAATTAATATTACTTACATTTCGATGGCAATCGCCAAAGAAAATTACAACAAAAATACCGGAAATTAACTCTCACCCAATGCGTCCGAACCAGGACACCGAGACACTAGTTGGCACTTCGCACATGTTTGTTTTCACCTAAAAGTTACCAAACTTTGTCTTTTCTGTTCGTTACTGTGTCTTGTTTTCCAGCGAGTAATATCGGCTGTGATCGTAGCGTCTGTGGTCGGGCTCGCCGAGCTGTACGTGCTGGTCCGGACCATGGAGGGCGAACTGGGGGAACCGTAGCGGCTACGCTAAGAGAACCAAGACGTTTTAACTTTTAATTTCTCGGGAAAGTTGGTGGAATTTCTGAGTGAAGATTCTGAGAATTCACAAATCGATGCTGAAGGGAAGCTGGAACATTACAAGAGAACAAATTGGTTCAAAATGGGTGAATATCTGTCCTTTTGTAAAAGTACTTCTGTTTTATCCGACGTTCCACAAATTTACTTTCATTGGTCATTTACTAAACACATGAAACATCTGTGGAGGAACTTCAATGTCTCGCTCAAAGACACACGGACAGTAGGAGTTGGGGAATCGAACCGCCAACCTTGTGGTTAAAGGAGCTACAGCTCCTTTATTTATAGTTATTTTCTATGTTCATGTGAGTACAATTCCTTCCATTGTCTTCTCTGATGTGTTTGTGTTCAATAAGATCATCGACACTAACTGGAGCTGATTCATACAGTTTGGTGTTAACTTCCCCATAAAGCACATTTCATGTTGATGAAGGAAAATGGAAATACTTTAGAGGACGCTCTGATGTTGGAATGGGAAATCTGCAAGTTACTGTTTTTTGTTTGTGAGTTAAAATGTCCAATAAATGTAGATGTATAAATGTTGAACGGATTGTCTTCTATATTTTTGTTATTGTCAACAAATTACATGACGAACAGAGAACCTCGTCCATTTTCAAAATTCATCCATTTTGTTCCTCTAGTCTGATCCATAAATATTAATAAACATGAACAACTCTCCCCCAAATCCTAACACTAGAGGAACAAAACTCAAATGAGTGATGTCGAAAACAAACTTGAAGACATCCAAGACATCCAAGTTTGAAACCTACATCTCTGGCTTTAGTTAATATTCTGAGAGTTTTCTCTCTGCAGAACATCCTGCAACACAAAAGTACGAAGGTCAAACAACCAGAGAGCGAATAGAACGATGGCCGAGCGTCAAGGGAGAAGGAAACGCTGAATTTGCCAAAGATTTAAAATTTAATTAATTAATCACACATAATTAAAAACTAATTATGTACGACCGTTATAAATACAAACACTACATAATTCAGAAAGATAATTGTATTAAAAGTGTTCAAATTGACCCGTTTAACACAAACTTCCTGCAGTGATTGTGTTTTTATTACGCATCTACTATCTATCACTAAGTATCTACTATTTGGGTTATTTTATCAGTTCTGTCCTGTTACTCTTATGCATTAAATATAAGATGAAATATCAATAAAATATGTCACTTAGTCGGGTGTAGTCTCTGAAGGAGAAACGTTGAATAAGATATATCGTGGTTAATCTATTGACTGTAAACAAAATGTATAATAGCACCACCTTTATCCTGTAAGATTTGATACAGTTTGATGTTTTGCATCAGTATAATATTAGTTATACTTCCTTTTACTGAAACTGAGCGAAAAAAGTTCTCAGTAGAGCAAACTCCACAGATGATGACCGTGAGTTAAGGCTGAAAGCTCTGGAAAACCCCTCTTGAGCTGAGCTATTTAGTGAAGTTTTATTTTGCCCTTTGTTTTGACTCAATAACCCACCAGCTGTGACACCAGATATTAAATACTGTTGTTGAATTCTATTCTCATGCAGCTCCACCTGACAGATGTGCTAATGATTCCTCTCAGAGAGACACAAAAACAAACGATTACTTGAACGTGACGTGAAGACTGACGGAACAACAACACCACGTTGTCTTATATACGACACGCTGGATCTGTTTCCTCTGATCCCTCCTCCACAGAGGAACTCATATTATTTATGTATTCTGTTGTAAACTATCCCGTCCTCTTCATATCAGAGGAAAGATTAAAAATATGTAACTACATCTGGAATACAAAAAAAAAAAGTATCTTCCTAAGATCTGAGATTTGACACCCGGATTAAAGGTTTACTGAAAGATTATTCGGTATTAAAGATGATTATGATATGCAGAGATCTCTGTCATATTTGCCTCTGTATTATACCGCTCATGTAATATTTCAAAACTTAAATCCAGGCTGAATTACAGAGGCTGTAAGCTGATAGACCCTGAGCTTTAATTTACTTCTTATTTTTTCATTTTCTGATACTTACAGTATTAGGAATATATTTTGATTATTTCTGTCATGGTATCTTACCGCAAAGGAATCATTTTAATCAGGATGTTTTGAAAGATAATACTCGCGGGGACGTAAAGCATTAAAACCTGCCGCGGTTTGTCCAGTTTACAGCAGGAAAAACAAGGAGAGGAGCTCATCGTGTCCGTTATGAATCCTTCACTTCGTCCTATTTATTCAGAGAAAAACACCAAAAACGAGACGAGAAACACGAACGAGTCTCCACATATTTTACACATTCTCTGGCTCAGTTTTCACAACGAGAGATTCAGTTTCATCCGGCAAACATTTGTGTTTATCTTTGTGTTGTGTGTCTTGTATTTGTTCTTGTACTTTGTGTTTTTATTCTGTTTCTTCTCTTTGTTCTGGAATCCCAAAAGACCACGGATGCAAATTAGCTTAATGGTAACTTTTTAAATAAAATAAATAAAAAGAATCTCACATTGCACACAAGTCAGATTAGGTAATACAACACTGCACATTTATCCGGGCGTAACAACACATTATCTATTGTAATCATTTTAAAATAATAAACACCTCCTGCGGTGGTTTCTTCCTCAACATCAAAGGAATAAAATGTGCAATTTCAACAGAAGTCAGTAATTTACTTTTTAAAGCTGCAATATTGCTGTAAATGAACAGCAGATAAAGTCGACTAAAATCTTTAAACTAAATTAGACTTTTCAAACAAGACAAAATTATTTACTTTTTCTGTTTGTTTCTATTTAAATGTTTAAGTCTAATTTAAAACAGTAAATAATAAACCATAACTTACTCTACAATCAATTCATTACATTTGATGTTTATCAAAACATTTCTTTCTGTGTTTTACCTCTTCATATATTTGATGTTTGAGGTAAAGTCACTGTGTTGTAATTCTGCTCACCTGCTGATCTTAAAGGGACAGTTCACCCTAAAATCAGAAATACTTGTTGTGGAAACTGAGCCAGAGATATGAGGAACATATTTAAAACATGACAGGAACACACAAAAAGACAAACCAGCAACAACTGGAGAACAGAAGTTTGAGGAACAGTCCGCTCTGGTACCACACAGGACAGATGTTGACAGATGTTGACACAGGAGAATATAAAGGAGTCTATAGAAGTATTGATAGTTCCCTGTTGGTGATCAGAACTCCAGGAAGTTGGTGACGATAGCAGCGTTGTAGATCAGGTCTGAGATGTAGCCCATGGAGGTCTGTGGTCCCATTTGCGGGTGGTGATGGTGTCCCTGGCCCTGAGCCACCTCCCAGTACACCTGCTGAGGGTGGGAAGGAACCACCTGGTCTACAGAGGTGTGACCTCCACCTCCACCTGCAGCGCCAACACCGCCTCCGTACATGGCCTGATGAGCCCCAGAATGAGCCACTGAACTCTGGGGTTTAAAGTTCCTGAAAGCCTGGTAGGACCGGGCGGAGGCCGAGTGGTGAGGCTGCCTGCTGCCGGGCTGAGGGAAGGAACCAGGAAGGAACCCGGGGAGCGCCGGTCCCAGGTGCTGCCGCTGGTGGTGCTGGTGGTGGTGGTCCTCCTCCCAGAGACGAGGCTCCGAGGGTTTTGAGGAGCCCGGCGTGGGCTGGAGGGATGAGGAAGTTGGCGGCGATGACACAGGGTTGCTGTAGATTTGGATCCAGTCGGAGTAGATTTGCGGGACGTCTTCGCAGGAGTGGTTCTGCTCCGGTCTGAATATGTCCGCCAGGGTGGTGGAGGAAAGGAAAGCAGCGGTCACAGGACCAGGGGAGGGATCAACAACCCCTCTACCTCCCAGGGGCTTGGTGGACTTGGGGAGCCTCACGGTCTTGATACTTCTGGCTCTTCTGTTTTGGAACCACACCTGTGGAAAACAAAAAGATATTCCTGTCATCATTTGGAGTTGGTTTTGGCGGTCCCTGTGGACTAAAGTGGTAGTGTCTCTGAGCTCCAGACTCCCTTTAGAAAACCTCTCATTTTACTGCAGCAGGGTCTGACAGTCTGCCCCTCTTAGTTCTGGTTCTGGTTCTCCCGTGCCTCCCTTCCCTCCTGCGGGTCCAGAGGGAAGGGTTCCCAGAGAGGAGAAGCTCTGCTCCTGGAGGAGGAGGAGGAGGAGGAGGAGACGCTGCTGCTGCCGCCGGGAGCTGAGCTCTCCTCCTCCATCCAGAGCTCCGTCTGCAGGTCCGAGGCTGCAGGTGAAGCCGGATCTATGTCTGTCCACGGTGGACCGGTCTCTGCTGGAGGATCTGGGTCTGTCCACGGTGGACCAGTCTCTGCTGGAGGATCTGGGTCTGTCCACGGTGGACCGGTCTCTGCTGGAGTCTGAGCTGAAGGAGTTTCTGGTGAACCTGCATGATGTCATCTGGTTTCACCAGAATCCGACCCGGTGGCTCCGATGACGAGCTTTAAGAATAACTCTATAGAAACAGACCATCTTCTCTCTGATGGTCTCTTTACTGATGGAGGTCTGATAGAGGACCAGGACTACACTGAGACTGGTTCATATAGAGGACCAGGACTAACTAAACTGAGACTGGTTCAGGACCAGATAAAAGTTCCTCACAGTGACTTTAAATACTGTTTGTGGGACCGCCCCTATTCAAATGTAATACCTGGATCAGTAAGTAAGTTTTTCTCATCAAAAACATTGATGGATTGTGTTCATATAATAAATGACAACACTGATAAAGAGACTCACCTGTATCTTGCTCTCGGGCAGGTGTGTGTGCGCGGCCAGCCTCTCCCTCAGCGTGATGTCCGGGTACGGGGTCACGGCGAAGGCTCGCTCCAGCTCGGACAGCTGTGCTCGGCTGAAGATGGTCCTCTTCCTCTTCCTCTGGCCCTCCATCAGACCGGCGGTGACGGTGACGGCTCTGTCCGGGTCCGGAGAGGACACCGCGCTCTCACTGCGGGCTTCTTATAATAACACCAATCAAAGGAGGTGACACAAACAACATTTAGATATAAAATAATAACATTAATAATAAATAAATCAATATGAAATAACAGACATTAACAGCGAGGGAGAGAAAAATATTTAAATATTTAAATGTAATTGTTCAGGATGGAAACGCAGTGAGTTGTGAGTGCGATTAATGAATACATTAAATCATAAGCTATGGGGTATAAAAAAAAACTTACACCGAAAAAAAAGTTCGATTTTTGATTTTACAGATACATCTTTGGGGCAATTTGCATGATTTTTAATATTTTTTTTCGTGTAGGCCTTATATTCTCATACGCAGTTGTTTTAAATTTTTTTTAAATTTCATTTAGATAATAATTTGCCTGCGTAATTTCGGCTGTGATTTTTGTAACTGCCCTATTTTTCCATTAAACGTGTCATATTATTCAAAGTTACTTCAAATTATTCAAATTATTTCAGTTATTTAAATGATTTTCATGTGCTGTGGTTTCTCGAGTGGAAGCCAAACATGGAATCTAAATGAGATTCTTACCTTTGCAGTGATCCGGTTCTTCTTCAAATAAGGCTTTAAAATCCATCATGTCTCTGCTCTGGTTCTGCTTCAGTAAGGAGAAGTCTGAGTCCATGAACAGAGCCATCACTCACTGAAGAGTCTCTCTGGAGGAGTGACCGCCTCTTATACCAGCATCAGGGGACACCACCCACACCACCACACCACACCATCACCACACACCACCACATCAGGGGACACCACCCACACCACCACACCACACCATCACCCACCACACCACCACCACATCAGGGGACACCACCCACACCATCACCCACCACCACATCAGGGGACACCACCCACACCACCACACCACACCATCACCCACCACCACATCAGGGGACACCACCCACACCACCACCCATCAGATCCAGGATCCAGGTGTTGTTCACCTCTGAGAACCTTGTTTTCATGCTGCACTGCATTATTTGTTATGATCAGCCTGGTTATGAAGAGTTTTTGGGGGTTTGTGGTATCTAAAGATGTGTATTGTTATAATAACAGATGCAGCATTCCAGAAATATATTATCATATATTTAGATAATTAATTAGCCGATAAATGATGAAACCTTATCTGACAATGTGCCTCATTTAATTTGGGAAATTCTTTGGAAATAAAAAATTTTTTTTTAATCAATTCGACCAAATACTGAAGTTAAGAATCAGTCGGAATAAAAAGGAGCCGAATGTGCACGTATTGATATAATGACCCACATTTGTATTTTAAATATATAATTTTTGAAACAAACGTGTCTGTCGGACTCACCAAACGTTTACATGTTGAGATAATAGCCATCGAATATTTCCACAAAAGTTTCAAAGTAGGTCAGATTTAATCCGCTGGAGTGAAAACAGGTCAGCAGTGAAATAATAACTAGATTCTGAAAACTTCAATCATCTTTGCATGGAGAGATCTTCTTCTTCTACTGTTAAGATGCATTCACGAAACCAGATGTAGAAAACAATCCGTCCGTCCGTCTCTCTCTATCCATCCATCTTCTAAATATAAGCCGTGTCTGATCTTAATTCAGTCTAAAGGTAACAGGTTTGTACGAAGACCAAAATCCATCGAGTTCACCTCCAAAATCATAACCTCTGACAACTAAATAGAATTTACAACAATGAGAATCATTTACTTCTTACATAAAATTAAATAAATTAAAACTTCAAATATTGTTAATCAAATATAATAAATTATAAATAAATAAAAAATACAAAATGTGATATATATATATATACTGTATATATATATATATATATATATATATATATATATATATATATATATCATTTTGTATTTATATATTTTAAAGGATATAATTTAATTATAATATAAAAAATATTTAAAAAAAGAATAGACATATAATTATTAATGCTATTATATAATATAAATATAATTATATATATAGAAATATATAGTTATTTTATAACAATCCGTTGTTATACATTTTTATTTAAAGATATTGTTTATATATATATATATATATATATTCAATTATATATACATATACTGTATATATAGTGTTTTCGGATGTTAAATATATTTTACTATAATGCAGAAATCTCTTAGATGCTCATTAAGGAACACAATGTCCACATTTAGGTGTCAAAGTGTACAATTTATTGATTTCATTTTCCATATCTCTCAACTCATCGTCTCAATATCACAGCATATGTGGATGTAAATACCAGTCAGCAACACACATCACATATTTAATCCGATATTTTCACCGTGCGCTATGCTTCAACACAAACCGTTCAGTTATACGTTTGTGAAACACACTTCCTCTCCTCTGGTGCAAATATTAAAGATTAATACGCACTTTCAAACGCGTGCGGTGCTAATAAAGATGTATACAACACAGCAACTGTTGCACTCTTATCTCAACTACACACAGAAAAACAACTAGTGTTGACAAACCAACCCGTGACGTTTGTGTGTGAACTCATCTTCATTACAGCTCACATCACCAGCAAACAGTGTTATTGAGTCCATGTCCACTGAGCTGTGAGCACTTCCCCTGCAGCATGTCGAGGCACGTTCACCACCACCAGGGGGCAGTGTAGGCTTTTACAAAGCCGCCACTTCTAGAGCTCCAATCTGCTTTAAAGTCTGATTCAAAGAAATGAGGAAGAGGTTGAAAATCTGTCGAGTCTAAAAGCAGAACAGCAGCAGGACGTTAGATGCTCCGCCTTTTCTTTCTTGTTGAGCTTCACTCAAACTTGCGCAGGTGGTTGTAGAGGGACTGGACGTAGGTGAAGACGCACATGGGGTCCGGTTTACGGCCCATGATCATCATGTCCTCCACCTCGATCAGCCGGTCGCAGCCGGCCTTCACCCTGCAGACACAGACACAGGAGGCCTTTAATGCTGCGAGGATTTTAATCGTTTTACGGTTTCTTTGGCGTATTGATCAGTCAAGGAAATGGTGGAAAAATCACGATTACCTAAAGCTCAGCAGCCCTAAAATCCTAAAATCAACTGTCCAAAATGCTTAAGATATTCAATTCATCATACAGACCAGAAAAAAATAAGCAAATCCTCACATTTGAGGAGCTGGAACCGCAAAATGTTTGGTAATTCTGCTTCGAAAAATTACTTTAATAATTAGCCGATTATGTAAAACGTGTGCCGATTCATTTTGTAATTAATAATAATTCTTAACTAATCAGCTCGACATGAAGTGAGAGGTGAAACAGCCACTTCATAAATCAGTCTAAGCCGTATTCTGCATCTAATATCTTGGATAGTCTCGATGAAAGCGCAGACTTTTCCTTTAACAAACATGTTTTTAAAGGCGTTAAAGAACGACGCTATTCGTGTAATCATTCGTCCACGTTTATTGTCCTTTAAGTCTCCGCTCTGTGATCTCTTTAAGAGGTCAAATGTAAAGCTGTGAGCGTATATATGAAGGATTGATCCGGCCACCAGGAGAATAGTGGGGGGGGGGGGGGGTTTCCAGTCAAATCAGCTTAATTCTGCAGCAGCAGCGTTATCGGCCGTAGAATAACACATTGTTAAATGGAGCGGTGGTGTTTAGGCCCGGAGGTACAGTGTGTGCATGGCCTGTGTAATGTCTGATCTGTAGCAGCAGCCTGTGTCTGTCTGCGGAAACAAGAAGCCGAATCAACAAGAAAAAAAGCATGGTGGATCAGAGGTAACACACGCAGGATAATCACCAATTAAAATGTGTGTTCTGCCGTTTAAATAATGACTTTGTAGAAGGCTGTAAAACAAAAAGCACCAAAGAAATCACATAAGAGACATCCAGCCACAGTAAAGTTAAGACCTGCATTGTTGACGCAGTTTGAAGTCAATAAATACTTTAAGGCTGATTCAGCAAAAAAAAAAAAAAATCAGAAAACCATAAAACCACAATGGACTCTCTGATCACAAACAAAGTGTTGCTGCTGCTGCAGGATGAGACCGTTCAGTTAAACTGCTGGAAGTTCAGGTTACGTTGCGGCTTTGAAGGAATAGTTCATTTGTTTTGTTTCCGAGAGTGAGATGAGAATATTGATCGCTCATGTCTGCAGTACGGATAAGCTTAGCTCCCCCATCGCTCCAAGACAGCACCTCGTATTTGTACAGCAAAGATAGATAACATTTAACGGAAAACAACACAAACAAAAGGTGAAAATGAAGAGCAGATTAGTGCCAATACAACTCTGATAAGCAATACGTTCTATTCCTGAATTTCTCTGTGATATTTTCATGTTAATCACGTCAAAACAGCATTTCCTTCTATGGTAAAACACTTTTATACAGTAATACCATAGACTGTATTTAAGAAGTGGACGTATAAAGTCTTGAGTTCGGCATTTCGGCCATCTTGGCTTTTTGCAGCCAGTGAACAGGAAGTGACCATATCTGGACTGAGGAAGAGTGACGTAGAGACGCTGTATACGTCTCTGGTAGAGATCTGTCAATCACTGTGTAGCCCCGCCCTAAAGCATCCCCTGCTTTATGGTCTGTTTGACTCTAAATGGACCATAATGTACTAAATGAACATCATGCTGTATTGAAGAAGACTTGAAACTAGAGATTGAGACCATAAACTCATGTTTACAATGTTTACTGAGGTAATAAATCAAGAGAGAAGTAGAGTCATTTTCTCATAGACTTCTATACAACCAGAGGAGTCGCCCCCTGATGGACACTAGAGAGAATGCAGGACATGAGACATGAAGCATTGGCGTCACCCTTCAGAACTGGAAGTTAAACTGCATCACATCAGAAACACTTCTTTGTATTCTGATTTTGCCGTCACTCACTCTGCGGTACCAAAGGCCAGCTCAAAGTTGTGTTTGCGGTCGGCGGGCGACAGACAGTTGTAGTCGAACTCGGTGGGGAAGAAGGAGTGCACCAGAGCGCAGAAAGCCATCCCGTCGCTCCAGCTGGACGAGAAGTTCTGGAGTTCAATGTTCTGAAGAGAGAAAACAGAGAAGATTCAGTGACGATGACGACGAACTTTCTGTGTCATCTCAGAACCTTCGTGTGCTGAAAGATTGACGGAAGGTAAAAAGAACACGGCTCGTCAAACGTCATAGGGACTTCTACCCGTTCACTGCCTCGCCCTTTATTCTGATGCATAAAACAGACATTCCTTCTCCTGCTTTGTGCCTTTGAAATCATGTCATTACAATGCTTTATAGGTCTGGAGTTTCATTTGAATGAAATGCAACATGTTAAGTCATCGGATGGACATCCTTCTCCCTCTGTGTGTGAGCGTTTGCTCCCAGTTAATAAGAGTCTTGGCTTTGCCCGGCTCGGCTATAACTGAAGCCACATGGAGCTGCTGGCACAGAAAAAGGCTGCTGTGAGGGAATAAAATGGTACCGGAGTGTGACGGCGTTCTCAACCGTGACTCAAACTACCTCAACCCCTCAAAACAAACAAGCACCCCTATAATCACAGGGACCCTCACCTCCATACACCTCTACAGTTGAGAGGCGGATAATTAGCATATTAGCATGGCAGTGTGCGCTGACAGGGTTAAGTGAAAAAACAGACAGGAGTTGGGCTAATTTAAAACAGATTACTTATATTTCTCATCCCATACTGGAGATTTTACACGTTGGGACAATTTATGACAAATTGTGTAAATATTGTATTAATGCTGGCTAGCTTAAATCTTTCTGAATGTTTCCCACCTTGGCTGTAATATATAATAATGTGCTCAACATTATGGGAAACACACTTATTTCTTTCTTGTCTTACCAGTAAGAAAAAACCTGGAGCCGAGAGGCAATTAGCCTAGCTTAGCATAAGGACCTGAAGCAAACAGCTAGCCTGGCTGTCTCCAAATGTGCTAACCAACAAATCTGACGCTCGCTAAATGATATGTATCTTTTGATTTAAACTGTACGTAGAACTGTAAAAACAAAAATAAAACAAGCTAATACGTTATATTTTTTATGACACAGATTTGTATGCGTTGAAGGTAGTGAAATGATCAAGTTGTAACAAAGATGGTATCCACTTCCTGTCTCAAGTGTTTGCATAGTGTGAACGTCGTGTGGATGGATGAAAGCAGATTGGGTTATATAAGCATAATGTATTCATATTTCCTTTTGTTAACATTAGATATTATTTACACAGCTAATAGACATATTTAGCCTTACGAAATATAGTTAACCAGTGCATTAGTAGCCAGATCTGGCGACAGGGTGTTGCTGAGACAAAGAAATACATCAAAGAAGTTTATGATTTATTATCATATTTTTAAACTTTGAAGAGAGCCAGGCTAGTTGTTTCCCTCTGCGTCCAGTTGTTATGCTAAGCTAGGCTAAACCTGCGCCAGCTCCAGCTTCCTCTTCTCATCTATCGAAACAGGAAATCATTCCTGTGTACTCTGAAAATTCACATACCAAGTTTTGGTCAACATAGGCAATCCATCATTAATATCTTTCAACATCTGGCTATTTAACATTACATTATTATATCATGATAGTAAAGTTAAAAGCCTGGCTGGAATTTCAAACGCCAGCTGATGTGGTGTGTTTATGTGCTGTTTGGAAATTCTGTTATCTGTAACACAAGTTTGAGGAACATCTCATTCCCAAGTTTTGTTGCGAGAGAAGTTAAACCTAAATAACTACCAGCTGGAGGACATCTTGGAAAGGATAACGTGAGTTTATTAGCTTCTTGACTTTACGTTGCTGCTGTAAAGATCAGACATTCTAAACTTCCCCCTCAGGACATGCAACAAAATCAGTTTCCACGACATAAATGTGCAACAATAACGTGATTTTGACAATGACCTATTCCAAGCAAGTCTTTGCCAGTTAATTTTCACGCTGTAGTGAAATAAACTGATGTAATCGACTGTCTCGGAGGTAGGAAAAAGATTTAACTAGAAAATGAGCTATGATCTGCTCTGGAAAATAATCAGCAGTGATGTAATGTTTGTGCAATTTGAAGCTGAACATGCATCATCTTTATAAGCTTCAGCTTAGAACAAATGGACCAAATGTTAGAAAATATGGCTCCAAACAGGCTGAAACACATTGGATAACATTGCCGGGCAGGAATTGCGTCTGCGAAAAGTGTGCAGTTGGTAATTTACCTGGTAGCCGATGGTCTTGGAGCGGCACCACTCGAGAAGGATCTGTTTGATGCTGCTGGCGCTGGACACCCCAAAACTCTGAGACCGCTTCAGTGTGGGTTTGGAGTCCACCGGTTTGGGGCGACTGTAAATGAGCAGAAAGCACAGGCGAGGATGCATGAGAGGGTTTAAATATTCAGGGGAAACTATCCACCGTAACCGTAGCATGACGATGCATTTACCTGTTGCTGGCTTCAGAGTCCAGTCTCTCGAAGATGGATCGGCGGGCCTGAGCGCCGATGTTGCGCGGCAGAGTCTGCGACCTCACCAGCTCCCGCCTCCTCTCCACTCCCTGCCCGAAGGACCTGTCGCTGCTTACGTCAACGTCTCTGCAGGGACGGGGAGCAACAGAAAGGGTAAAATATTGGTTCTGACCCTATCTGAAAAAAAGATTTCACGAGTCACCTTCCAATCACCTGTCATGCTGCAAAAGCCCCGAGTAGGTCACAGACTTAGCCGGGGCCGAGTTCACTTTCTCTGCAAAATAACAAACAGTCATTAAATCATGTCCATGACATCGTAGTCTCAAACAGGATGCGTCTCTGAAAGCACGGCTCACCTTGAAGGCGGGGGGATCCCAGGGCTCTGATAGGTGTAGGAGTCCACGTAGAAGATACTAACAGCAATAAAGAAAAAGGAAATAGAATTGTTGTGAGTATATAATGCTGCAAAGTGGGTCACTCAACTTTAAGCCTTAATATAATTTAAACGGGGGACTTAAATAACAATCTACCCCCGTACAGTTGTCATGATTGGGGATATTAGAGACCAAAACCGTTTTTTTGTACCAGCCTGTAAACATGTTTATCTATGCTGTAAAGTTGGACATTTTAACATGATTTACCAGCACCGGAGGTTGCTGCTTTGGGAAAATCTAGCAAATGAATCCTGAAAATGACTTATGTATTGATTGCATTTTATTGCAGGTCTGAAGTTGGACATACACCCTTAAAACCCCCACAAAGCCTTACTCATGAACTGCAAACTAAGGCAAATAGTATTCTCTTATAAGAGGCTTTCACTCTCACCACACCATGAACGCAGCTTCTTAATAACTTCATAATACAAACAGAAAGTTGTCTTAACAAATTGAGGTTGAGTTAAGAAAAATCAATCACCTGGCTGAATTGGAAACTCCTCAATTGGTTGGGTCTCGTTGGTGCTAGCACCTGATTGGCCGGCAGGTGAGGCCTCAGAGACCGGGGAGGAACGAGAACTACCGGGGCTGCTGGGAGAGTCAGGGCCCTTCATTTCTGCCGTCTTGGTTGTAGCGGTGATGGGGAGGTGGGGCATCCTCATGGCGACGGGGGCTGTGTGCTCGTGGGGGAAGTCAATGGGTGGAGAGATCTTTCCGTGTACCAACTCCGAGTGTTCTGGTTGGATAATAAGATGTAAAATAATCATAATGATGATATGTTTTATGCAAACAATGGCTTTAATGACTGTGTGTATTGTAAAATGGGTCGCTCATACTAACAAACCCACAGAGAATAATCACCAGACTCTACAGTTTCTGCGTTTTATCCTTTTTTAGCTCATTGTTTTGGGTGTCCAGCCCAAAAAAACAGCCGATTTCAATAAAAAAACAGAAAAATTAGTACCTGCCCATCACCAAATGGCAGACTGACAAAGTTAGCGACTAGTTGGTGAACAAAGTGGAGCGGTGGAGACCAAAACAGAGCTAAAAGGGGACTGAATATTGGACTAGCAGTTGGACAAAAACACAATTTCAAAATGAATGCTTATGTAGCTCCTTATCTTCTGGATGTGATAAATAAGCAACCTGCTATATCAACTTTGTAAAGTAAAGCAACACAGTCTCACGGCAGTCCATAAAATAGTCATGAAATGCAATCTATTGGTTTCGTGCCGAGCGACACAAATTGTTCATTTCTTTCGTGTCGCTCGGAACAACTTCTTTTTCAGGAAGATGTTCCGCTATAAAAGGAAAGCAAAACCACTTAGCGAGGTATTAGAATTACCAAGACTTTAAACAGCAGCAGGTTACCTGTGATAGCAGCGTGTCCGTTCTCCAGGCCAGCATATGTCGGGGCAGGGTCCACCTCTATAGGCTCCTCTCGCTCAATACTCTGAAACACATGGAATCATAGTGAACATTATTGCCTTTCATTGCTTTTTAAAGGTGCGTGAAGTCAGATTTGACCTTCACTGACAACAATGGAGGCCATCAGAGCAGCGAGAGGCTTGTTTTAAAAAATCATGAATTAGCAATTGAGAAAAACTGCAATTCATGTTTTCCTTTATTTGTCTCCACGAATGTTTTTGCCGTGCTTGTATTCTATTTAGAATATGTTCTGTTCTGAATGTAAACTTTGGAATTGGATTGATGTATTGATTGATTTTACAATGTGGAGAGAAACAAATATCTCCATCAGTGTGCATCAGCAGTTGGTCTTGTTTGTTGCGTTTGGTCAATTTATTCACGTACTTCCCTCTAATAATAATAATAATAATAATAATAATAATAATAATATCGCTGAAAAATCAAACCCAGACTATCATTCGAAAAGTAAAAATGAGCTGCCTTTAAGTGAATGTATGGTCTTAAATTCTTAAATTGTTTTTATTATTATTTTTCTGCTGTTTTCTTTAATTTTACTGTCTGACAAACCTTATTTTTGTATCTATGTATAATGTTAATATGTTTAAACGGATACAAATTTAAATGAAAAAATAAAACAAGAAAAGTAAAAATGTTGAAAGTATTATAGATTGAACACAGCATTGTGTAACCGGTTCAAAGAGAAAGAGATAGTTTGAACCGTCTGTGTGCCAAACTGTGACACAATTTGGTTTTTATAAACTATTGTATAGTTTTGAAGTGTTTCATTTAGCAAAATGTCTGACGTGTTCTGCTACTTGTGTGTGTGTCGTTGTGTGAATCTTGTGTAGCGTTTTGATAAAATGAGCTTTCAAAGCCGCGTCATAAATGTGGTATTAATCAGTTGTATTGATTTATTGCCCACAGTTCTATTTGTTGTTTTCCCCTTTAATCTTGCATGAGTCGTTCATAAACCAATATGTTTGAGTCGTGCCATCAAGTTCCCAAAAAAGAAACCCAGATGTCCGCTGCTCATTAAGTCATTGCTGAACCATTTTTACTCTTTTCAGGTTTTTGGACTTTTTCCTCCAACATGTGGGCTTTTTTGAAACGACTTCAGACAAAACAAAACGAACCAACAACTACGACAAAGCCACGACACGACTCGGCACACTTCAAAGTGTCCAGATAAACCGAGCTGATTGTTGAGGGTCGTGCAAGGCTGTTCTGTTCAGTGTGTCTGCCTCTCCTCACACTGATAAGACTTGAGAAGTCTTTTGTTTTAGATCAGGCGCCGCTGTCACCGTCGGGAGAGCTGCCAAAATCTACCGCTGTGATTGCGATCAAGTTCTTTAATGTCTAACATCAGGATCTAGGGTTCACATCTCAACGTCTATTTCCCGTCTCTTTTCAAACAGCTAATCACCGTCCTGAGCTGACACTTCTATCTCGAGCTCTTAACCACGTGGTGCCGCTGACCCACATAGGTTCTGGGTCAAGCTGTCATTTTTCCATGTGGCCCTGTCGGACCGATAGACGGAGCTTAGTGCGGTGATAGTCGGGCCCTCTTTGGCACAGGTCAACAGTGCAGCGCTGATAGCTGTGCACGTTTTCACAAGGTCAGCATCGAACCACATATTTATTTATTATCTCTAGCCGACCCTGAAAGAGACTTTCGGAGAGACGTTCCGAACCCCTCGGGCAGCCATGTTGGATGAATGTCCTCAGTTCTTTGGCAAACAAACACCCCTGAACAGCTGGTTGTGTTTCAAACTTGGCTGTCACAGCGGAATTAAACAGACGAGGCTGATTTTCTTGTTTGACTGAGAACATTATTTCACCACTGATGCATCAGTTCTGTGTTTAGATAACGTCAGTGTGTTTGGAAGCAGAGAAGCAGCATCTGGTCAGCTTTTCTCTGCTGTCAGAAAAACCACAACATGAAGGGATTGAGGAGTATCTCACTATAACACAATGTTTAACCATGGTTAGCTTGAAATGCAAGAGCATCTGAAACCATTGCATGAGAGTCTATGGAGCAGAGATAGTTGTCAGGCCCTGGTTTGGAGCTGGCTGATGCTACGCTATGATTGGACAGTCTGCGTCTGAGGGGCGGGACTTAGCAAAGGGTGAATTATCCCCTCCCGACTCCCTGACAGTCAAGATGGTGGAGAATAGAACAAAAAAAGGGAATTTATTCATCTCGTATTGGGCTTAATTTTGGTGGATCATAACATTTCGGGTATGGAATTATTTCCATTTACCTCCATTGTTTTTGGTTGGAGGCACGACATGTCAGAGACGGATATCTCAAAACCTCTACATATGAAAACTATCTGCGTGGCGAGATACCGCTACAGGTTGTCCGTGGCTCACTGGGTTAAGAGGGTTGTCTGGTAACCGCAGGGTCAACGGTTCGATCCCTAATCCCTGATGTGTCATGTGTCGAAGTGTCCCTGAGCAAGACACTAAACCCCTAATGGCTCCCCGGGCACCTGTCATTGGCAGCCCACTGCTCCCTATATACAGGGATGGGTCAAATGCAGAGACAAATTTCCCCTTCCGGGATCAATATAGTATAATAAATTAAAAAAAATAAAATAATGTGCGTGAATCAACCTGTTTAGGAATTAAAGAAAGGAACTCTTTTTTTTGGCAGCCGAAAGATAAAGTCTCTAGAGAGGCAGAAACCTAAAACCACCACTGTATGCCCTCCTGTCTCACACACACACATCCAGAACAATATGCTGTTCTTCTGTGAGATTACACACTGTGCTCACTCGAGGAAATGACAGGCAGTAAATGTGTGTTTGTCTGAGCTCACCATATAGGAATGCTGGTGGTGTGTGTTAAAACAAGGCACGGAGTGTGTGTGTTGTCAAAAAATATGCATGGTAGTCAATGGCAAGAAAGAAATAATTTATGTCCCATTTGAATTATGAATTACACATTTTATGTTTGTAAATTTTAAAGATAATTTTGCAATTTAAGAAAGTCTCATTTTGTCATAGTTTTATTTAGTTTGATGTGAAACCGCTCGGTGAACTAAATCTCTCGTCTCACACAATTTACATCACCGACAACAACATGGCAGTTAGCTTGGCTTGCTAGCTAACTTAGCTACGTTCCATGCTCAAATGTACCGTTATCTTACATGATGTGTTTAATCCAACGACTCTTTTTATGAGCCGGGAAGAGAAAGAACGAGATAGACCTGTTGTTGGTGTGAGAACATCCTGGTACGAAACTCACAAGCATCGTAGCTTCAAAGAGAGACGACACTTACAACACTTTTGGTTGTGTAGTCTTTTTAATTATGTATTTTCACTTTCTTATACTGCAACAGTTTTATGACAAAATCTGACTTTCTTGATGTGTCAAATTATCTTTTAAATTGACAAACATTTTGGCGATTTTGGCATCGTCATCTTGGAATACGATCGGTGCCATGTTGGCTTTTCCGCTAACCAATGAACGGAGGTGACCATATTTGGAATGCGGAGGAGTGACGCAAGACCTGTCAATCACAGTAGCCCCACCCTAAATGATACCCTGCTTTATGGTCTGTTTGACTCTAAATGGACCATCATGTACTAAATGAACATCATGCTGTATTGAAGAAGACTTGAAACTAGAGATTGAGACCATAAACTCATGTTTACAATGTTTACTGAGGTAATAAATCAAGAGAGAAGTAGAGTCATTTTCTCATAGACTTCTATACAACCAGAGGAGTCGCCCCCTGATGGCCAGTAGAGAGAATGCAAGTTTTAAGACACTTCCGCAGTGGCTTCAATCAGCAGAACTGGAGGTTGCCGCCTGGTGAAGACTTTATGCATGAAAAGGTGAGGAAGGCACAGGAGAGCATTTGCATATTGCATGATGGGAAATGAGGCAGAGGGACGTGGTAGCGAGGGTGGAAACAGCTGGCTATCCAGCAGGAGGAGGGAGACAAATTGCAGAATGTCTGGCTTTGGGGAGGGGGGAGCTTTCCCGGCTCAATTGCTCAGATCATCAGAGGTCCACAGTGGGTCGGAGGGAGGGACCTGGGGGCGGAGAGAAACATGATAGCGGAGCTGCTGAGGTTCCTGTAAACTCTCTGGTATCTCTGGGTCTTTTTTTTTTGCTGGCAGAACACACTGGCACTTAACACTTTAACATGGCACAGTACTGACCAGAAACCTGAGGACACAAACACCAACTGATATCTGTCGGATTTACTCTGCACCCGATGGACTGATTGATTGTTTTGAGGATGATCACCTTTCATTAAATATCAGCAAGACATACTGTTGATACTTTTGCATTTCTACATCCATGCTTTATAGTTCTATCCACTGTCTTCCTGTTAGTTTATTCGCTAAATGTGTGACTTTAAGACCATTTTGTCGTGAGATGAACGGAATAATAAAAACATAATTTCTCCCTTTTTCTTACTCAATAAGAACAGGACCAACTGATACAGAACACGAGCTATCTATGGTGTTATATCGTAGCCGGGAAGCGCTCAAGTGTAATGATCTCACAGAGGTCAATACTGCCGCTAGCAGCTGCTACACAGCAAATATTTATACATTGGGTAGGTGTGGATATATAAGTCCTCACCAGCTATGAAAACCTGTGTAAAGACACTTTACAGCTGCTCCATAGTGACTGAAATTGTGCACTCTTACACAACTAGGCCAATGTTTCAAATTTTCCAGGTTACACAACGTCTATGTAGCCGTAGCTTTAGCATAGTTTAGACAAAAAACATAAAGGGAATATCACGTGTCAATTCCAGCTTCTTTGGTGACCCGAAGACACTCAAAGTGAAATGTATTGTTTGCTCCATGACCTTTTGACCCAGGCATGAAGAGGATTTCCCAGACAAGCTGAATGGCGAGCATGCTAGCAGCGTGGCTTCAGGAATAGCAAGGTGGGAGTGAGATATCTTGACAAACTTTGGATGAATCGCAATGAAATTTGATTGAGACGTTCATATTCCCATATTAACTAATGCCATTCCCATCCGTCTAAGTTTTACTT